AGTTTTATCCGTATTCACTAATGAGAATGGTGGAATTATTGACGATACAGTTATTTGTAAACATGCCGACCACCTTTATATCGTATCTAATGCTGCCTGTGCAGATAAGGATTTAAATCATATACGTACTAAAATGGGTGAATTTCAAAAAAAAGGCGGATTGGTTGATTTAAAAGTTATTGACGATCGTGCTCTGCTGGCTTTACAAGGTATCACAATAATGTGAATAAATATATCTATGTATTATATTTAATCATCTCTATAATATGCTACGTTAAAGGTCCTCTGGCTGCTGAAATCCTTCAAAAATTGTGTGATAAAGATTTAACAGATTTTAAGTTCATGACTTCTCGTTTTCTTCATATCAAAACTATTGAAAGCCACGTGTCACGTTCTGGATACACTGGAGAAGATGGCTTTGAAGTAAGTTTTACACATAGTTCGAAACATTGTAGTTAATGTCAAAATGGCTAAATCACTTGGTATTTTGTACTATTTGTGGAAAGAAAATGTAGCAAAGTACGTTAGTGAACGGTTTTTTAGAACATTTCATTTTGAAATTGCAAGATCTTTGCGCTAATGAAGAAAATTGAATGTCTATTTTTTTAGCAGCAATAATTTTGTTACGAGATTGTGTTAACTAATATAAATTTGAACTATGATTTTGGAATCATATAGATTTCCGTTCCTGTGTTAAGTTCTCAACGGCTAGCAAAGTTAATATTGGGTTATCCAAGTGTGCATTTTGCTGGACTTGGTGCACGCGACAGTTTACGTCTCGAAGCTGGTTTATGTTTATATGGGCATGATCTTGATGATTCAACAACGCCAGTGGAAGCAGGATTAGCTTGGACTATCGGTATTTTTATATTTATGATGTATATATTTTTTCTAGCATTTGTTTGACTTAAAAAAAATTTAACAGGAAAACGTCGTAGAGTAGAAGGTGGCTTTTTAGGTGCAGATCGAATTCTTGCTCAACTTAAAGATGGTGTAACGCGCCGTCGCGTTGGTCTAATTGTCGAGGGTGCACCTGCAAGAGGTACTATTATCTAACTTATTATTTTATTTTACATTTTAAATTCAATTTTTTACTTTTCCTTTATACAGAAAATTCAGAAATTTATAATTCTTCTGATGAATTAATTGGTATGCTTTTCTGTAATTTAGTGTAATTAATTATAAATTTCATAAATTTAATAGATTGATATTTTTTATACTGTAAAAAAATTAGGCAAATTAACAAGCGGTGGACCGTCACCTACGTTGAATAAAAATATTGCAATGGCATACGTCAAATCTGGATATCACAAGAGTGGGACTTTGCTTAAAGTTAAAGTTAGGAATAAATTACAGGATGCTAAAGTTGTAAAAATGCCTTTTGTTCCTTCTAAATATCATAAATAAATAGATATATTGGTTACAAATTTAGAATGATTTTAATGGCCGCAGAATATTACAAATTTGGTGCTGAAAGTAGTTATAGTCACAAAATTATAAAAAAAATCATTCTTTGTTTTACCAATTTTTATAAAGCATTAGAATTTAACTTTCGTCACATTAAATTTTGGATATCAACCCGGTGGTTATCTCGAGATTAGACTAAATATACTACCAAACTTAGTATCACAGTATAAGATATTGATTGCATCAAAAGTAATGACTATAATATAATTACATTTTAATTATCACAATTTAGAAATATATTAAAATGTAATATAATACTATAAATAAATATTAGAATTTGAATTATAAATTTATTAGTCAAAAGATAAAAATAGATGCAACGTTTATATATAATTGCCCGAAACAATAGTAAATATAAAGGATCTAAAAGGTTGTATCTGCATAAATAGAAGTCATTTTGAATATAGTAAGACAGTAAGAAGTAAAAACCATCCCTTCGTCTGTTATGAAGGCAAATATGCCTGTAAAATTTATTTTTTATATAATTGCTAAAAAAGCAAATATAAAAGTCTTGAAAAATACTTCAATTAATTTTATAATATTTTAGCAAAGTATTTATTATAAAATATATGTTAATAATCGTTAATACTAAGTGAAAATCTGTGTATTTTAAATGTTATAAATAATCTTTAAGTAATTTTTGACCCACTGGTCCGTTTTGGATAATTTTACTACCAAAATGATTAGCTCAGTAAAAACGACTCCAACGAGCCAAAATCATTAAAATCCAATCGCAAGATCCTGAGATGTTAAGGTTTTATACTATTTTAAAAATTTTGACAAGTTAAGAATTCCATTATTAGATTTGATGATTTTTGGCTCATTAGAATTATCTCATTATGTTCGGCACCCTAAAAACCCTAATCTCAACTTTAATTTAAAATCCTAACCTTAAAGTTTAATTTTAGCTTTAAAATTTGTGGTAAAATTTTTTATAAGTCATATAATAATAATAATTCATGAATTTCACCTCTGGTTAATACTAAATAAATTATTTATTTTATAAATTTTAAAAATTTTAAAATAATAGCTTCGCAATATAAAATCCCGAGAATGGTTCAGTTCTTATAATCACCATCGTACAACTATGCAAATGAATTTTGTGTATTATAACCATTTTTTAATATAAAGGCCAGAAGTTTAGTTGTGTACATTACAAGTGAATCTCGATGTAAGAGTGATCGGATCTATAGTAAAAATTTTACAATCTTAGAGCTTATTAACTTATATCGAGTGGATCTATTATAGACTGGTTTTGACTGACCTTCTTATATTGAGAGTTTAATTAGTCTTTCTAATATCGAAGGTTTCTTATATCGAGAGCCACTTGCACCAAACTTTTTAAAATAAAATTGACAAAAAAAACTTGAGCAGATTGCCTTGAACCTATTAATAATGAAGATCTTAATGTAATAGTTAATACAGTGAATCACCAATAAAGCTATTCTGAACCCAACCAATTCAAAGCATGTCATCGTATTTTCATAATAGCACTATTAAAAACACAAATAATATCACTATTAAGATACAAATTATGTCAAAAAAATATGTTTTTATTCAACAATTAATTACTATATATTTTTAATAATATCCTATATATATCAAGGAATTATATATGAGGAGAAGTATTATTAAAAAAATCAAGAAGCATTAGTTATTTTCGAATTCTCACTTATTTATTTAATTGGAGTAAAAGTTAACCGGTTTCATTTACATTTTACGCGTATTTATCAAGAAAGCTTTCAGAATAATCAAGTTCAAAATTTACCAAATTGCGCAATGTTTTTTGGTAAAATATCCAATAAGTTTTTGTTCTAAGGACTTCAAAAAAAAAGCTTTAATTTCTCCTGTTAAGTAAGATGATTTACAAATGGGAGTAAAAATTGGGAATCGAACAAAATCAATGCTTACCAGTTAGTTGTCCTGTAAACTGGACTGATGAAAACTTCTTTCTAACCTTAAAAGCTACATTAAGAAGCTATTTACCTCTTATCCGTTATTTTCAAATATCTGGATATTATATTACTGATAATGTGCAGTAAATCCAAATGAACGTATTTCATTAACTATTCTTCCACTTGTATAACTTTGATCGATTAGAAAATCATTCCAACAGTTATTTGATGAAGCACATGCAGCAACATGAGTTGACAAAAACTGAATCCTATTCAATAACAAATATCCCATATGAATTTAAATCACTCTTTCGCGAAACTAGAAATAGTTTTACTAGAAACCTATTTTGAAAAGATTTGATAAGCAAGCAAGTATATTATATGGTAATGAAGGTTAACGAACTAATGAAATTTTTGGTGGTGATAATCCGATAAATCAATTAGTAGGTGGGAATATAGTGAAGATAGCGATGAACTCGGCAACGGTAATAATTTTAGTCAAGATAATGAATTTGTATGTGAATAAGCAGAATTCGAAATATTCCCAATTCAAGGTAAAATAGTTAAATAGATTAATCAATATATGCAATAAACTTCAGAACTTAAGTTTTTAATTAGCAACATAAAAGTTTACCATGTATAGTTAATCTTTTTTTAAGTGATTGTAATAGAGTCTTAGGTAAACTTATGAAACAATTACTGAATGCACTGGGTTTTAAATCTAAATTTCTTTTTCCAAATTTGACTAACTTTTATACCGTTGTTTTTAGTTAATTATGCTTTTAAAACATCGTTAAAATATATTAATACCTTTCTGTTAACGGAGAATGACCAATCACTTTATCAATATCCAATTGACTTATTATTAATTGTCAAAGTGAAGGAAATGATGGATTGATTTGACTTTTTATATATTGATTTTTGACATAATTAACAAAAACAGCTCCATCTTCTTGATGATCCCAACACTAATGCTAATACACAATGAAAGTTTCGAAACAGGGGCACATAGTATGAAACTTTTTGGTGGACCTTCCCGAACTGTCCAGTTACATAATTAAATTATATCGCAAAACATGCGTACGCAGTATTATAAGCCGACTAAGGGGCTAATCTAGAATATTGTTTAATTGGTCAGTGCATCATTTATTATACATTGTTCGTGCATTAAAACGATCGTTCGAAGATCATATAAAAACAAATTATCAATTAAAATTAAAATTAAAAAATTATAGAGACAATAACGGTGATTGAACTTAGCCAATATTTGTGATTGAGTAAACTAGCGCTAGACCTCAATCGGAATACGTACTATCAATAAAGTTCTTCCATTTGTGTGACAGTAAATTATTACGTAATCGGGTTTTCAATTAAAAATACGTAACGGTAATTTTAACTTACGTACAAACTGAAGAATTAAATATTTAAACTGCAAAAAATAACCATATATTCACTAAATATCGATATAACCCCCTTTTTTTTTTTAGTAAAAATGGCAAATGAAAGTTTGCAAATTATTTACAATGATTCACTTGTAGAACAGTTAGCAAATAGCGAAATTCATGACCACCAGACCCAAGACGATGTTATTGAGTCAACAATTATAGATAATTTATGCCAATTGCACGAAGAAGAGGTATTAAAAGGAAATTATGATCCAGAATTTCTTAATTCAATAGAAAAATATATGACAAAAAATAATTTAAAGTCAGAAGATTTAATTAATTTATGTTTAAAGAGTCAAACAAATTCTATAATCCTAACCATTCTTGCTCGCTGTTATCGTTATGGAAAATGGGTTGAAAAGGATGAACATAAATCGTTCATTTATTACCAAAAATCTGCTGATATGGGAAATGTTTACGGAATAACTGATCTTGGTGAATTATACGAAAATGGAATTGGTATTTATAAAGATGAACATAAAGCACTCTTTTATTATCAAACAGCAGCTGATTTTGATTATTCTTATGGAATAAATAAACTTGGCTATTGCTATAGAGAAGGGATAGGTGTTGAAAAGGATGAAAGCAAAGCTTTTTTTTATCATAAAAAATCAGCCGAAATGGGTCATGCTAATGGAATGCTTTCTCTTGGCCATTGTTATAAAAATGGAATGGGTAACGAAAAGGATGATAATAAAGCGTTCATCTGGTATAAAAAATCCGCTGATATGGGTAATGCTGTCGGATTATATTATGTGGGTTATTGTTATCAAAGTGGAATTGGTGTTGAAAAAGATGAGCAAATGTCATTTGTTTATTATCAAAAAGCGGCTGATATGGGTGATGACGATGGAACACTTAGCGTTGGTTATTGTTATCGTCTTGGAATTGGTGTTGAAAAAGATGAAAATAAGGCATTCATTTATTATCAAAAGGCGGCTGATATAGGACATGCTGAAGGAACATGTGGTGTTGGTGTCTTTTATGAAAATGGAATTGGCGTTGAAAAGGATGAACATAAGGCATTCATATATTATAAAAAATCTTCTGATATGAGTTATGCTAAAGGAACATTTAATGTTGGTTATTGTTATCATCATGGAATTGGAGTTGAAAAAAACGAGCGTGAGGGATTTATTTATTATCAAAAATCTGCTGACATGGGTGATGCTGATGGATCGTATTATGTTGGTTATTGTTATCAAGACGGAATTGGAGTAGAAAAGGACGAACGTAAGGCATTCATTTATTATCAAAAATCAGCAGAAATGGAGATTGTTGATGGGATATTTATGGTTGGTTATTGCTATCAACACGGAATTGGAGTTGAAAAGGACGAAAATAAGGCATTTATCTATTATCAAAAATCTGCTAATATGGGTGATGCCGATGGAACATATAGTGTTGGTTGTTGTTACCAATTCGGGATAGGCACTAAACAGGATGAATATAAAGCTTTTATTTATTTTAGAAAATTAGCTGATAGCAAATATTAATAAAAAACAAAATTTATTAAATTATTTGTTTATGTACTCTACTATACATATACAGTCAACTCTGTATATAATGTCCCTTTTTATAACGAACTCTGGATATAACGAACTCAAAAATTTTAAATTTTAATATTAGTTCGGTATAGCAAGAGCTATAGCCTAATTCTATATAATGAACTTTTTTTTTGGCCAGAATTAGGGATGTTAAACCGTTTAACTACTTTTAAAAATCAAATGCAAATTTAATATATCAAACTACGAGAACTAGTTCAGTTTATATAGTAAAATCTAACCGGTTTAACATCCCCAGCCAGAATCTAAGGTTCGGTATAGAAAGAGTTGACTGTATCTATTAAGTAATCGAGTGTTGTCCTATTTAATCTCAAATGTCGAAAACAATAGTAAAATAAAGGTTTCGCTCTAAAATAATTACATCAAAGTTATGTGACGGAATATAACTATTACATATCGTTGTGTATAGTAAAAATAACTACGTAGTGATGGACAAATAATGAAAGTTTCAAGTTTACTACATTATCTATAAAAGATCCTTTGAATAGTGAATGTAAAATAGCATAGGCAACATTATTTTATGTTAGCGGGACCTTTGATTATGTAGTTTTATTTATCTATTTATTTATTGTGGGATGATGCAAAAATTGGGGTCTTGATTTGAAAATATATCGATATGTCCTACTAAAATCCACATATACATTTGACCCTCGCTAATATCAACCCATTTGGATCCTCTTATATTCATGTTGATATTGATATTAGTGAGGGATCATAGCAAAGTTGATATATATGAGGGAATTTTGATATACCAGGTTGGTGAAAAGTAGAGATGGGCAAAGTAATTTTGTAAGTAATAATGACCTATGACTTATCCCTTACTTAATATTAAGTAATATTAAATAATTATTACATTCAATTATCTATTACGTGTACATATAAAACACATGATAAAAGTCGGAGACAGGTGATCAAAATTGAGATTGAACGAAAAGGTGTTTCTAATCATAAAATTATTGTAAAATTACTTAATAATACCTATTGCAGGTAATATTAAGTATTATTAAGTAATAATATGTAACTGACTTTGCTCATCTCTAGTGAAAAGTCCCTAAACAAGCCATTTTTACAATCTCCGCCAATATTTAATTTATTACCCAAGTTTGTGAAAAGTCTATAAACGGGACCTTTTTTTATTCACACTGATTATCATTTTTGTTTAGTAATCACCGTAATAAATAAAAAAATAATAAATTAAATATTAGCGGAGATGGTAAAAATGGGGTTCTGTTTAGGGACTTTTCACCAACCCGGTATAAAAATTTATAAAAATTTGTCTTGTGGCTTAGGTTGATATTAACGTAGGTGGGTACTTTTAATTATCAATTATAACCTAACTCCTAACCCAACCCTAAAAAAAACACCCCAAAATTTCATATAAAAATATGCCCAAATTTCAGCTATCACATTTATTTTTGAGCATGCACTGGCACAAATAAATGAATATCGATATAAAAAAGGAGTGTCATACTCAAATTTCATAAAATTCGTGTGACTGTTATGTAATATGTACGTCGTATGTGCATGATATCTCAGTTATTTTTGTTTAAAAATAACAAAGTAATATTAGAAATATCAAACTAAAAAAAAGACTAAATGAAATATATATATATAAATTTTTTTGTAATTTTTTGAAATATAAATAATAATAATACTAAAATAATAAAATAATAAATAATAATAATATATATAGTTATAATAATAAAATAAAAACTAAAAAATAACTTTTTAACAAAAACACTTTTTAGTTAATACAAATTCTTTAATTTTCATGTATTGACAAAGTTTGACTTTCTCTGAACTTGTTTAAAAAATCATCCTGAGTTTTCTTAATTTTAACCTCATAGAGTTTGTAAAAATCTCTATTTGGATTTTGAAGAGGAGAAGGTAGATTAGGATATAAAAATATTACATATCACCTAAAATAAATAAAACTTTTTTAATCTTTGTTAATTAATCCTAAGTTTTAATAAGTGTTCAATTTGTTTTAATCTAATATTAATTAGATCTTTAATGTGATATGTAGGAGATTCTCTGTTTCTTCTGGGAATTGGATAAAAGCTCTCTTCATCTGAAAAATTAAAATCCCATATATCTGATAATTCATCATATCCTAGAGCTTGACCGGAGGCAATTACAGTTTCTTCAATTATTTCCCATAGATCTTTGATATCCTCAATATTATAAGATTGTGAAGATATAGATTGTAAGACTTCTTGTTCAATTGGTAGGTCTTTTTCTATAGATAGAGTATCAGGTACAGATTCTATTCGTGATATAGGATAAAGTTTGCTATGCAAAGAACCGAATTGTGTATATTTCATAACAAGGATATAATTTTTGGATACATCTTCCATTGATATGCCGAAACATTTTAAGGTCAGATTTTTAAGACCAATATCACAGTATGCCTTTAACTTATATTCAAAAGAACATTATATTAAAATCATTAATAACATAATAAAATTAATCATTAAAAAATACTTAAATAAAAATACCTCGTTTATAAACTCTTTATGAGAATTTTTGGATCCATGAAGTAATTTAAGTGTGACAGTTGCATTCATTTCTCGTTTTCGATCAAACAAAGTAGCAGAATATACTGTTGCAAATCCACCCTTTCCTATCTCTTCAATATTTTTAAATTCATTATAAGGTATCCATGATAATTGATATTCATTTTCGATCAACATTCTTTTCAAATCATCATCAATATCGCGGTTGTCATGTACCCAATCATTTGTGACTAATAATAAAATATCAAATTATACAGCTGACTGTTAAAATTAAATAAAATTATAGTACCTTGTGTTATATTATTTTCCCTAATTATATGTTTAAATGTGAGAGTTTATTATATAATTAAACGCATTGAAAAAAATTGTTCTTACATTTGATACCAATAATCTGCTTTTTGAATGTCCATGGCTGTCCCAATCCCATTTCGATAACAATCACCAAGGTGCGATATTCCAGTGACATCTCCCATTTCAGCAGATTGTTTATAATGTAGAAATGCCTTACGTTCATCCTTTTCAGTTCCAATTCCAAATTGATAACAATAGCCAACATTACATATTCCTTTTGCATTTCTCATTTCAGCCGATTTTTGATAATGAACGAATGCAACATCTTCATTCCTTTCAACACCAATTCCGTTACGATAATAATATCCAAGATCATTCATTCCACTAGCATGCCCCATATCTGCAGATTTTTGAAAATGAATAAATGCTTTATGTTCGTCTTTCTCAACCCAAACCCTTCTTCGTAACAACCAGCAAGATTATATAGGGTGTTATCAATTAAAACAGCCCTTTTTTACTTTTTTTAAAAAATTGAGTTTTTT